GAGTGTCAGCGCGTGCCTGTGGTCCTGCCGCGTCACCTTCTCCGGCCACTGTACGCAGTCTATGTGCAGGTCGTACGAGCACGTTGCGCACGTGTAGGCGAACGCTTTCCCGTCCTTGAGGCACGCGTTGCAGGTGAACCCGTCGCTGTACGGCGGAGACGGAATTAGGGTGAGCGTGTGCTGAAGGTGCGACTTATGTTGGAACTCGCGCGGCGCGTCGTAGCAGGACTTGTGGAGGCTGAACGGGCAGTGCCCCTCCGTGCAGCAGTAGGCCGATCCTGACAGCCGGAATTCGCACGCTGAGCAAATCTTCGAGCTCTTCCCGTCTAACTCTATGAGTTTCAGCGCGTGGGCGTGGCTGAAGTGTTTAATTATGTTCGTCGGCGGTTTTGGCTGAGGATTGTTCGGAGGCGGCGGAGGAGGATTATCTGTGGTGGTGTTCATGACTGTAGCGTAAGTCGGGACGGTGATGTTAGGCTGAGGTGGCGGCAGAGGATTGTTGGCGGGAGGAATGTACTGCTGCGGTGGTGGAATTGAATGTGGTTGGGGAAAAGCAGGGTTTTGGTGCACACCAGGTGTTTGGTGAAATGCATTGTAGTGTTGTGTGTTGTTGGGCGGTGGTGTCGGGTAGCTGGGATAAGGGCTGTTTGGATTAGGTGGATATGCCGTGAGTTGAGGTTGAGGAGGATAACTCTGTTGGTAGTTCGAAGGCGGGTAAGTCGGATAAGGGCTTGTATGGAGCGGCGGGTGGTAGACTGGATTGTTTTTGTAATTCGGATTAGCAGCAATTGGGGAAGATGGCACGAGCGGATTATTATTATTCAAATGTGCGCAGTGGACATGGATGTCGAATTGACAAGCCGAGCAAGAGTAGGAAAATCCGTCCCCGGTTAGGTTGCATAAATTGCAGATAAAGGAAGCTGAGGGGTAAGTAGGGGAAGGGAGCAGGGTGAGAGGGTGAAGTGGGTGGGACGGGTGTTTGAGTGAGCGTGTAGCCCGAAAACACTGCACGTGGAGGAAATAGTTGCACTGCCAGCAGACGTAGGCCTCACCCGAGAGGGCAGTTTTGCAGCCCGAACAACGGGTTTCGGGCCCTTGGTGAGGCGGTTGGCGGTGGAGAACGAGGCCATGGTGGTGGCTGAAGTGCTTGGCATCCATGCTATTTTTGTGCTTTTTTCTCGTTTGTGAGGTTGGGTTGAAGTTGAATGTGTCGTAGTGTGGGATCAGGAATTCATGAATGGATATTTACTTATTATAGAGCAAGCAAGTTCGTGTTGAGGAATTAATATGCAAGTTGGGGTGCCAACTAATAGTAAGATTCTTGGCCATGTGAGATGGGTTGAATTTTTCACTTCTTTGCTGGCTTATGGAAGTTGACTTGCATATTGAGTAATTATATTTGACTTTAACCGGAGGAGATGTGTTTTTATTCATCTGAAAATTATTGTGATGAGTTGACATTTCTTTTGGCAGGTAATGCGCGTTTAGTGGGTCAATATTTTTTACTTGAATTAATATAATCTGAATAATAAGGTCCTACTGTACTGGTTGCTGGTTTTTGCTATGGAGGAATGGAGAATAAAGATGAATTTTTATTCCATGACAATAATAATAATGTAAAATGTATTTCGGGAAACACATGTAGTTGTATTGTTGGAATTAGCCTTATCCAAAAACTATCGCAATATCCCAGAGCATTCATATCAAATAATCGAGAATCAAACTAAATAGCGGAAGCGTACCTTAGGTGGATTTATAGATCCGATCACCATGGACTTGGATCACGAACACGTCCTCGATCACGACCGATGTCGGTTTTATGGCCTTCTTCAACTAAATCGCCTTATTCCTCGTATGGGACCGTCGTTCTCAATTCCGATGGAGAGAAAAGAGAGCTATGTTCGATTTAGTGTGTTGGGGACTATAACCAAGAGGGTCTTTATATACTAATAGGGTAGGCCATCCATTATCACCTAACCCTAGTAATATTAGGTATACACTCAATATGTCCATATCAATTTATGTAGCCCATGAACTCTACTTAATTTGGATCACTTAATTGAGTCCATTAATAAATTGAATAGCTAATATAATATAATTGTATATAATATGTTGCCCATAATTAGATTATATATAGGAAATAAAATATTTCTGGCCGCGCGTCGCAACGCGACAAATTTATATTTATAAAATTTTCTTCGACTTACCCCTACCAACAAGTAGTAGTGATGAGCAAGGGTCGATCACACAGGGAGTGTGGTATAAACCGTGATTTTATTATATTAATTAGATTATTAGTAAAAATGGGGGGATTTGATTTAACACGAAACTACTAGCAAAACGATAATTAAACTAAAACTAGAGATCAATGATTAAAATACAAAGATGATGAAATTGAAAATAAATAATTAATCTAGCAAATATGAGAATGGAATCGGTCCTTGGTCGGTTTACACCCTCGATTAACTAGTCCAATTAATGCATTTATCAAGTTTCGCTCGTCTTCTAAAACTACCGGTCCTAGATAGCAATAAGCTCTGCTACCCGAATTCTCCCTTAATTATACTTAATCGAAATAGGCTCGTCAATTAATTCTAACTAACGAATAACTCGGAATAAGCTCTCCTAATTTAATCCACTAGTTGCATTAGAATCTAGGAAAGTAGACCGATCTAAGCCACAAACACACAAGCTCGGTTCATGTAACTTATGTTGTGTTATCCCTAACAATGCACGACTGTTAGTTGCTACAAGCGAAATAAGAACTACGACAATTACACAGATCGAAGTCTTAAATCTAGCAATTACCATGCAATCCTCAACTTAGGTGATCAAGCTAAATTAAAGAACACATATTATGACATGAAACTAGAATAATACAATCAATTTTATACGACGAGTAAAACAAAATAAAATTGCATTAATCAAACATAGTCACTGAGGGTTCAACGTCCCTAGAACCGAAATAATGTTTAGCTACTCATAGCTAAATGATCAAAATAAAAATAATAATCCATTTTATAAATCAAAATTAAAAAAAAAAAGAAAATAAACTAAATATCAAGCTCCCTTAATCCTTAATCAATTCCAGCAGCAATCTTATTTGATCTCCTTGTCCCGCTCGACTCCCATCGGCTCTCCGTTCACCTCGCAAATAATTTACGAGCTCCCTCGCATAAGTCCTAGCAAGATGTAATTATATTCTCCCTTTTCAATTTCTTTCTGGCCATGCATGAGTCCAACACCCACAAAACTCTCTTTTATTAATTCCTTTTACCCATCAAGTTAGCCAAATAAATGAGTCCATAAAAATGAGAATTCCTCCCTCTGAAGTTGCGGCTCCCAACATAGAAAACTAAGAATCCATTTTCCTAAAATAAATTCCTATCCAGCGGCCAATACTTTTCCATAAGTCCACCACTTTAGCATAATTTTTAATTATTTCCTAATCCTCCAAATACTTCCACGTCACAAATAGATGTGATAACTGCAAAATAGACACAAAATCGAATATTGGTGTATGTCCGTTCACAAAATAAAATACGTGAGAAAATTTTAATAATAAAATAAAATAAAATCAAATACTCAAATATATAAATTAAACCTCAAATTAGTACAAATTTTCTCACTTATCAAATCTCCCCAAACTAAAACGTTGCTTGTCCCCAAGCAACATAGAACTAGAGCACAAAGAACGAACCAAACAAAACAAGTACGTGGAATTTTCGCTCAGGTCCTCACCCTTCTCACATAAATGCATAGCTACAACTTCTCAAATTAATAACCCCAGACTCGAAATGAAATCATCTTTAGAACGCCAACAATCAAATATCAATTTAGTGAATTCCGCAGCTCATCAATCTCTTTACCGAGTATACCAATTATGCAACTAATGATACCTCTTTCTTTGCCAACCGGTTTGGTTCCTATTCGCTTCTAGCTAGAAATCAAACGTCTCGATTTTTTTCTTTTTTTTTCTTTTTTTTTCTTCTTCATTTTTTTTTGGGAACGGCAGCTCCGTCACAGTCCATGGTTTTTAGCTATTCGTGCTAGAGTGATGCACTAAAGCTCAGAGACTGGCAACTGTTGCAGCCCACGATCTTATTTTCTTTTTTTTTTCTTCAACACCCATTATTCTTCTCCTCCACCTTCATTATTTACACCATTTTTTTCTTTATTTTTTCTATTTTTTTATTTTTCGAGACATTCAACTCCCAACTTTCTACGTCAATTCACCTCACACAATCGACATCAAACAGAATAGTCACTAGCATATTTCAAGAATATAAACAGTTCAAGACCAATTCACTACAAAGAAATCAAATAAATGTCAATCATCGTGCCTTTGTCCCTCCAATGACAACACTCCAAGATTTTAACCAGAAATAATCAATCCAAGTTATTATAACTAGCACAATATTCCAATAGACTCTCAAATCATCATCACGAAATTCCACATACGACACACCATAACTCATTCACAATTTTGTTCTTCTCAACCAAAAGCAGTTAGACAACTAAAAACAACTAGACATGACCCTAACCAAATCAAAAAATAAACCAAGCAAACATATATGCATAGAAAAATGACACAACCACACTCGTCAACAAATCTCCCCAAACTTAATCTCTATTATAAAGCACAATAAGGGAATCAAAATCACCAGATCATCGACGGGTGGTCCTGTTTGCTCGCTGCTGCTATGAGTCCTCTACTGCTCCTTGACAAGTCGGCTCAACTCGGGTGCTCCACCGGATCTTCAAGTGGGCTGTTATCGGGGCGGCGGTAGAAGTAGAAAATCCACCCGAACAGTTATCGGGGGAGGCGGTAGCAGTACGGTTCTTCTCTGTTTCGCCATGTTCTTCATATTCTTCATTATTTAGCTCAAAATTACGTTCCTCCTGCACCTTCAGGTCCGTGTCTCTACTCCCCTGAAACAAAAATTCAACCGTAAAGATAAAATTGAACCAATCAAAATACTAATACTAATAGAAAAAAAAACAAATATTGGGTTGCCTCCCAACTAGCGCCTTATTTTATTGTCGTTGGCTCGACTTATTACTTCCCTTTTGTTCAAGCTATCCATGGAGGATTTAGAGGTGGCCTCAAAGGAGGCACAAACCATGCATCACCATGCTTCTTCAGAATCCTCTTATCATGTGTCGGCAAAGATTTTAATTCGAGCTTCGGAACCTGCACAATAGATGATGAACATTTTCGATGAGATCCTGATAATTTAAAATTAGCATCATACCTAGGAGGAACAGGTCCTCTCTCATGCACATCCATGACGATCCCTTCAATTTTTTGGCTCGATCGCGAAAATCGCCCCCGTCAACTTCTGCTATCAGGGGGGGCGATAACAGTTTGTCGCACCCTATGCTCGAGGAGATCACCACCTCTAACTCATCGTTTCGACCATAAGTCTCCATATATTCCTGTGCTAAAGGGTCAATAACATAAAGCATATAAACAGAGTCATCACAATCATCAGGATATTTCATAGTATCAAAGATATTGAACTTGATGACACGTCCATCAAACTCCATCGTAAGAGTGCCCTGTCGAACATCAATCATCGTTTGGGCTGTGTTTAAAAATGGTCTTCCCGATAAAATTGAGGTGAAGTTTGAGGACTTATCATCCATGTTCAACACATAAAAATCAGCTGGAAACACAAGATCATTAACTTTCACAAGCACATCCTCAACAACACCGTCGGGATAAGTGGTACTACGATCGACGAGTTGGATAACGACCCCGGTTTGTTTCAAGGACCCAAATTCAGAGAATTAAAGATAGAACGTGGCATGACATTTATAGAAGCACCTAAATCCAACATAGCCCGTTCTATTTTTAAATTCCCAATTATGCAAGGAATGAAAAACATACCTGGATCACTCCTTTTATGTGGCAAGCTCTTTTAGAACACGGCTGAGACATTCTCACCCATTATTACCTTCTCGTTTCCCTTCAACCGCCTCTTATGCGTGCACAAGTCCTTAAAAAACTTCACATATTTTGGAACTTTCTTTATGGCGTCGATTAAGGGAATATTAACCTCGACCTTTCTGAAAACGTCTAAGATCTTCTTCTCGGTGTCTTCTTTATGTTTCTTGGTGATTCTCGATGGAAACGACAGAGGTTCAGTCCACCT